ACTGGCACCTATTTTTGTTTGCTCCACCCTGGAGTTTCCCTGAGACCCTGCACCACCCAATTTACAACCCCACCTGAGCTGTAGGCAGTGGCTTTTGCATATGAATGGCCTGTTCTTTCTCAGCCTACAATCTGTCAAACAAGCTACAGCTGGGTCAGAGAGTCCCAAAGCTATCAATAAAAGGCCCAAGGCTGCCACCAGCACCAGCCTGCCTTGCTTCACAGCTGGGCCTCATCCAAACCCATACAAAGAGGAGGATCTACAGATCTGCAGATCTCTCTGTAGCTCCTGCTGGGTGGTCCCAGGCAGTAGCTGAGTTTGCACCTCCTTGGAGATCCAAGAGCCAGTGTACCCAGTGGTCAGTGTGAGACCATAGCAGATTACAACTCTTCACATCCATAAGTGACACACTCAAGGGGCAGACTCAGTGAGCACCAAAGTCCTACTGAAGCAAGTCCTTCCCCATAAGGGTGTCTCCTGCACAGCAACTCTCTAACTGTAGTCACTGCTGGTCCCCTCAGCCAATTGGCCTAGAGGTCAATTCCTCCCAGGGATACCAACAGCTATCAAGGCTCAACTATAAAAAGACTGTGCACACAGCCCACAATGGGGTGCACCAAGAGTGTCCACCTCAGGTTATTGAGGAGGCTGAGCCACTGGGCCCTACAGGACACATACTATACAAGGCCATTCTATCAACTCAAGGAGACTTAGCAGCTATCCAATACATAGAAACAAACACAGGAAAGCAGCCAAAATGAGGAGACAAAGAAACATGTCACAAATGAAAGAACAACGAATTCTCCAGAAGAAGAGATCAATGAAATGGAAATTAAAAACTTATCAGACATACAGTTCAGAAAAATGATGACAAAGATGCTCAACAGAATGAGAAAAGTATTGGTAACTATGAAGAATGACATAGAACAGTGATGGCGAACCTTTTGAGCTCAGCGTGTCAGCATTTTGAAAAACCCCAACTTAACTCTGATGCTGTGTCACATATAGAAATTTTTTGATATTTGCAACCATAGTAAAACAAAGACTTATATTTTTGATATTTATTTTATATATTTAAATGCCATTTAACACAGAAAAATCAACCAAAAAAAATGAGTTCGTGTGTCACCTCTGACACGCGTGTCATAGGTTCACCATCACTATCCTAGTGGGTGGGGCG